CCCGCCACCTGCATCCCGACCCCGCCACCTGCATCCCGACCCCGCCACCGGCACCCGGCCCTGGCACCACCGCCCGGCACCCGCAGCGGCAAGAGGAGCCCAAAGCAAACCTGGCGAGGCTGCCCGGTACTTACCTGTGCCCGTGGCACGCTCGGAGCAGGCGTGGGGACTGAGGGGGGGTTACTGGGGCATTAGTGGTGTGAGGGGTGGCGGTGTGGGGGGGTCAGTGGGTCAGTGGGGGCCCGGGCAGGTTCGGGCGGCCGCGCTTTTCGTACCTCGGGGCGTCTCGCGGCCCTTCGGCGACGCGCACTTGGGGGTGGACAGGGTGATGACCCGGGCTCTGTGACCCAGCCCTGGGGGCACAGGACAAAGCGAGCTCAGCGAAGGGGGGGACGGGGGCGGAGCGATGGACAACGGGTGGGATGGAGGCGATGGCGCCGGGGGCTGCGGCGGGTCCCTCCCTCCCCTCCCTGCGGCCGCCCCCGCGGAGCAGAAGCGGCTGCTCGGCTCAGGGGAGCGTCTACTCTACGAGAGCTGCCCGGACCGGGGGTCTCGGCGAGGCCCCCCGAGGCAGCGACCCCCCCAACATGTCCTCACCTCCGCGGCTAAAAGTCCCAGGCCCTTCGTCCTTCCCTCCCATCACCTGCTTCATGAGCGATCCCAGCTTAGGCTGCTGCCTCTTGTCGGAGAAATCTGCAGCACCAAGAGAACGTCAGCTCCCGAGGGGCCCTCCCGGCCTCCCCTCGGCTGCTCCGAGAGAGGGGAAGGGGCTCAAGAGAAAGCGACAGCAAGCGGAGCCCCCGGGAGCCCCCGGGGCCGGGACGCGGAGCCCAGTGCGCGGGAAGCACCGTCCACCCCGAGCCAGGGAAGCACCGTCCCCCCGGAGCCAGGGAAGCACCGGAGCCAGGGAAGCACCGGAGCCAGGGAAGCACCGTCCACCCCGAGCCAGGGAAACATCGTCCCCCGGAGCCAGGAGCCAGAGCCCAGCGTGTGGGAAACGCCGTCCAGCTGGAGCCACGGCCAAGAGGCGCCTGGTGCGGCCGGTGCGGGAGGGGGCTCGACCCGGCCCTGCTCCCCCCCGGGTGGGGGATCACCCTGTCCCAGCCCCTGCCCTGCCAGGGCACTGTGCCCCCCCAGCGCCGGCTGAGCCCCCTCCTCCGGGCACGTCCCCCCCCGCCGGGGAGGGGCCTCGGAGGGGCTGCCGGCATGTCCTCTATCCCCCCCGGCTCAGGGACCCCCCCCAGCTCCCCCCAACCCCCTTGAAGCGATGATGGGTGGGATGGCTGGGACGGGATGGAATGGCTGGGACGGGACGGTGGGTGGAGCTCTGTCCTGGAGGGAAGGGCCGACTGGGAAGGGCCGAGTGGTGGAGGGCATCAAGGTGTGCACGGACTTACCGGGGGTCCCCGGACAGACCCCAGCCGTGTGCGTGGGGGGCACGCAGCCAGGTCCCGGCTGGAAGGGTCTGTCCCCGCCGGCCCCGGCGAGTGCCTGGATCCCAGCACGGGCTGGGGCTCCCAGTGCTTGCAGCTCCAGGGACACCGGGGCTCCCAAATCCCTCGGGGCTCCCAGCGCCCGAAGCACCCATCCCCACCACCAGCCACGGAGTCCCAGCTGGAGTTTGGAGCTCCAGAGAGTGCACTGAGGGCTCCCAGTGCTCACAGATCCGGGGACATTGGGTTTCCCAAATTCCCTGGGGCTCCCAGTGCTCACCAGTTGCCCCAAAACCCAACCCCACCACCGGCCACGGGGATCCGGCTGGAGCTGGGAGCTCTGGAGAGGCTCCGCTGCCTCCTTGGATGCCAGAGCCTGGGAGAGCGGGTCACTTGGGAAGCACAGCAGGACCCAGGGCTGGCGGGAGCCCACCTGCATCCCTCCCACCCCTCTCCGTGCCCCCCTCCCTCACCTGCACTGCTCATGTGTGCCGAGGTGAACCCGCTGAGCGTGTTGCGCCCGCCGGCATCGGAATAGTGGGGCATGGAGTTGATCACGGCCTGCAGGTACTTCTCCTGCTCCAGGCTCGTGGAATCCGTCTGGGAGGGACCTGGACGGGGAGACCCCCGAGCGTGACCACCCCAGAGCCCGAGGGGAGCCCCATAGCCCCCCAGCTCCGCGTTCCCAGGGCAGGGGGTGGACGGGCACCTGCGGTGGGGGCGTTCTGGGACTTGAAGAGGCCGACGACGCCCTTGCCGTGGAGCCCCCCCGAGCGCAGCAGCACGGCCTTGGTGCGGGAGTTCCTCCAGCACACCACGGGGAAGCGGTTCTGGCGGTAGCAGCGGGAGATGCGCTGGATGGTGTTGTCGGGGATGCTCTGCGGCACGATGAGCAGCCCGGGGTAGCTGCGGGACAGAGCGGGGGGGGCTCAGCGGGGTCCCCCCGGGGGCGGGTGGGGTCCCCCCCGTGCCCGGCTCACCTGCGGCAGATGGCATACATGCGGTTGACGGTGGAGATGCGGAAGGGCTCGTTCTTGGAGCGGGTCAGGCTGCTGCTCAGCGTGCCCAGCCCCAGGCGCTGGTAGTCCCGGCAGCAGGCGCGCTCCACCACGTGAGCGTTGGTCATCTTGTCCGAGGGCCTCATGGTGGTGCTGGGGGTCAAAGTGCTTCTGTCCATGTCTTCGGACACTGTGGGGAGGACAAGGTGGGGTCTGGGGACACGCTTGGCACGGACACGCGGTGTCCCAGCGTGGAGGAGAGGGATGGGATGGGATGGGAAGGGATGGGATGGGATGGGAAGGGATGGGAAGGG